ATTTATTTATTTAAGATGGCGGCAAACTCTCTGATTTTCGCAGGCTTATTCTTATCACAGTGCGCATGCGCAATTAGCCTGTGCATGCTCCGTATGTAAAGTCTAGCGTATTTATAACGTAGTCGCGTTTACATGTGGACGGGCAAATACGATTGTAATACGGTTCGTGTGGACGCGGCTGTTTTCGAAATACAGAGAAAAAAATCTCCGTTTTCGAAAATATCCGGATACGTGTGGACTAGGCCTAAGTCCGGCTGCACCAGATAAAGAAAAAAAATCAGTTGCGGAGCTCTGGGAGTGAGGTGCAGCACGTTGAAATCCAATTTTTTTCTCACTGAGTTTTTTTTTGACTTGTGCAACGGACTTTGCCGAAAAGCAGGGACTAATCGTAGTCGGGAGCCATTTACGCAAATATTTTACCTTCACCCTCCCCTCTTTGGTTCTGCAAGGGATCGGAGAGAAGACTGGTAATTAAAGGTCGAAGGAGCACGATGTCGAGCTCAGAGAAAGAAAACACCATCATTTGGCATGAAACTTTTTGAGAAAATGGCTCTTCAGCATCACATGGCTTCTAAATGACATAGATCTTCATATGATTCCTTCCTCCAGATACCACGGGAGTGGTCACAGAGGCTTAAAAAAACACAAAAATCGCGAATGTTGATGTATACACTATCACCGCTGAACAACAAAACATCTAAAAGTCGTTCAGGCAAGGTATTTCTCAAGGCTGTTCTGCTTTTCTTTTTCATTTGATTTCTTAAGCCGTTTTTCCCGTTAAATTTATTTTCATGCGTGGAAAGGTATTGTTGAATTCGTTTAAAATTATTTTACTACCTCAACGCGGGAAATTTAAATATTTTCCTTAGAGCACTGCACCTAAATGGCTGCATCTGTTGCAGACGGTAGATAACTGTATTTGCGGTATACTTTCCATTGTAGCCAGCATACAATATAGGTGAATCTTGTGTAGACAATGTCAATAGTTGTATCCATTTCAGACAGAGTAGATAGCTGTAAGTAACTAGTGTAGACTCTGCTTATTTAACAATTGGTTGATGCTTAGATATACATGCATTAATGAGCAAGCGTGAGGTCAAGATGGCTGGAAATTAGTAAGGTTCTGCTTTTTATGTTTTAGTGGACGGAGACCAAGTCAAGGTCCATGAAACTGCAAAAACACTGGCTAATATCCAGCCATTTTGATCGAACAAGCTTGGGAAATAAAGGATTTATTATATAGCAAAAAGATTTCTTATTGTAGAGAATCAAGAATTCATAGGTGTACAAGGCAGGGGGAGGCTGCAGCCTCCCCAGCTGCAGAAATTATGTAATTTTTTGGTCAAAACGCTCTTAATTCGGGCAATGACACTTGGGAGAAAACATTAGAAAATAATGCTGTTGGTGTGATTTCCAGAGGTTGTAAATAAAGTTTCTAGTTAATTACTTTTCAGGTGATTAGATGCCCGAAGGTGGTGTCTTCAGAGATTTTTTAATTTGAATTCATGTAAAATGTAAAGTGTATCATTTTGCTAACATCTGCTGCAGTTCATGCCTAATTTTCGCGCCAATTTCGCGGAGATCGGGAAAACATTTTGACGAGTTCACATGAAGGTTTAGGTTTCCTCAATGAAGTTCATTTGATTCTTTGTGAAGTCCGTGGAGTTGAAAGGTTCAAGAAAACGGGAAAAGCTGAGGTGACTAAAGGTCAAGCAGCCGTCAAGGTCAATAAGGTGAAAGGTAAATACTACACAAATTCCATTTAGTAATTCATTTATTCTGTTTAATCGATTCTATCCTTAAATCTCAGCATTAAAGTATCACATAATACAAGCTGATGTCACCCACCTGGTGACTACCAGGTATTGACAGCTTTTTCGGCCTTTATTGTCCCTAAATGAAATGATATGTGGTATCTGGTAAAGACTCCTGGAACTGAATATTATTTATTCGTATATTAGTGTACTGCATTTGGCAGACATTATCTTCATCATTATTCATATTTATTCATCGGTGTAGTTTTGCTAATTTAAATTTTTGTTCGATGTTGACATACTGCACTTCAACATGCTAAAAGGCAGAATACCCGCTTTTCAAAATGGATCTGGTGATGGATCAAGAGCCTGATAGAAGAAAAAGAAAACGCCCTTATCATCAACACGTTATTTATGCAGAATGTAAGAGAGAAGTTGATTCTGATTATAAAGATAATCATGCCATGACTGTGCATAAAGGCAAGAAAGTAGCTTTTGTGATGGTGCGCGAGTGCAATCAGAGTCAACTTGCTTTTTCTAATAAAAGCTCCATGGAGTCGCAGCTGTCAAAGAAGCTTTTCAGAGCTGTCGTTCAGCTTGATGCTCATGACAACGAAGGTATTAAGAATGAACATACGGTGACCACTCACAAGCCACTACCAGGAATTGGTTCAATAGTCTTCGAGGATAGTCAGAATGACAAATTACAGTCAAATCCATCCCGTGACGGTCACACTATTGAAAGCAAAGTAGAGCCCATTCCTCCAAGATCAGAAGCACCACTTAGTTCCTGTTCGAATGTACAAACCCATTACATCGACGCAGTTGAAATTTCACTTGTGCCAGTGGTGTTGGAACTAGATGACCCAGATGTGTTTGTTCCTCTTCAGGAATCTATTAGAGAACCTGAGCCCTCCCCACCTCAAACTGTCGAAGTAGCGATGGAGCCTGAAGTCAGTGAGATGATCATGCTGTCACAAAGAGATGATAGTACAGTAGGTGAATTAAGGCCAGCCACAAGTGATGGGCCTCAGCAACCGGTTCTTTCCGAATACAACCCACAAAACTTTGGAAATGAAACATTCACCAGAGATTTCCAGCCAAAGTGGTTCAAACCATATCCTTGGTTGAACTACTCAGTAGATAGAAAGGTAGGAACTTGCTATGTGTGTTCCACGTTTACATTTTCCAATTGGAAGAAACCTGAGTGCCAAAACACCATCAAAGTGAGAAGCACTCATTGGCAATGAGGCGATGACAAAGTGGCTGGATTACCGCCAGATGCAGAGGAGATCCTCATCTATAATCAGCGTCATGGATGATGGACATCAGAAGTGCATCCAACATAATTGCAAGCTTTTACGTGTAATCATTGAATGTCTTTTTTACACTGCCCAGCAAAACATCGCTCAAAGAGGTCATAAGGAGGATTGATCTAACCTTGGACAAAGATCAGATGTCAACAGGGGTAATTTTCTGGAACTTTTGCACCTTCGATGTAAAGATATTCCTTGGCTTGAAGAAACATTGAACACTCAGTTACAAAACCACGCTCAGTGGACTTCGCCAATCATCCAGAATGAACTGCTAGAAATTTTTGCTGACCTCATAATTGCACTTATCTGTAAGGACGTAAGAGAGAGCAGTCGGTACAGGATTATAATTGATGAAACGTCTGATATAAGCCGAGACGAGCAAGTGTCATTTTGTCTCAGCTATACAGTGAACAGTAAGTAAGAAGCATTTGTTGGAATTCATGCAACGAATACAACAGATGGTGAAACTCTTTACAAACTAGTCAAAGAAGTTATCAACAAGCTGCAGTTAGAGCTTGAGAATATCTTGGGTGAATGCTTTGACGGTGCAAGTAACATGAGTGGTAAGTAACATAAGGGACTCAGTGCGCAAATGAAAGAGTGCTCTCCTCTTGCAATATATGTGCACTGCTATGGCTACTTGTTAAATTTGGCACTGCAAGACACCATGACAGCAGTGGAACCATTGCAAAATACTCTAGGCACAATCCAGAGCCTGTACAATTTTCTAGAGGCTAGCCCAAAATGGCATGCTTTGTTTGGAGACATAGAAACTGAAGAATGTAGCTTGCTTACTACTTTGAAGTCTCAAAGTGTAACAAGATGGTCATGTTGATGGGAAGGGGTGAAAGCCGTCCACCAACAGCTCAGGCGAATAGTGAAAGCATTGCTAGTATTATCCACCAACAGGGATGCTAAAACATGCTCGGAAAGTCGTTCACGTTTGCATGGAATCTGTGATTTCCAGTTCGTCCTTGGCCTGTGTGTTTTAAAGATTATTTTATCAAATACGAGTAGCCTGAGTACTTACCTTCAGGGAAAGACTGTGGATGTTATTGCAGCAAGATGGAATGCCAATTTGACCTTGGAGACCCTATGAAGCTGCCGAAATGATGAGAGCTTTACCTTAGTCTGGAAACTTAGTGAAAATATTGGTGTTAAGATGAAATCCTGGATTGTTGAATCAGATTTTTTATTCCACGATGTTCATGTGCCATGACAACCCTCAACACATTTACAGGCATTAGTTGGGGAAAACAAAAATGCCAACTGGTGCTGCTGGTCCGTCATCGAAACCAGAGGATTACCATAGAGTCAACACCTTTTTCACCTCTCTGGATAAGGTCCTGGCCTAAATTGAGAATCGGTTCTGCGGAAATGACCAAGATGTTCTTTGTGCATTAGGTGATGTCACTCTAAGTGATTCCCCTGCCAGGGGTAGCTTTGACCTAATTCCTGGTTACTATAATTTTGAGAAGGAGCTACTTCAGGCATACCAATGCCTGTTCAATTGATTCAAGAAAACACACGTGGAAAAATCAATTAAGACAGCGGCAGAAGTCATTGACGTATTGCATGAAAACAGCCTTTATGAAATTACACCAGAGTTCTCAAAGGTGGCGTCCATTTTGGCCATCATTCCCACAACATCATGCTTAGCGGAATGTTCGTTCAGTGGACTCCGGCAGTTGAAGACTTACCATCGTAACACCATGGGGCAGCATAGACTCAAATAACCTCGCTATCATCTGTATTGAGTGCACCTATGGAAATCAAGTCATTGTCCACAGTATGGACAAGATAATTGACATTTTCGGACAATGCCATGGAAGGAAGAACTTTTTCTTTTGATACATTTTAGATAACATTGAGACTGTTCATAGAATTATGTAAGCAAACTTTCAATTGAGTGATTTTTCCAATGATAGCAGTTTCATTTGATGGGAAAAATTAATGGTGAACTTCTGCGTTTGCATCCTGATTTCAACCCTTACTCTTTCAGGCATTGCGTAGTCAGTTTTTTTGGTAAGGAAGTCACCGCCCCCCCAAGTCCAAAGGTACCCATACGCCTATGGCAAGAATCACTTGTGTATTTTGAGAGCCATGGATGATGTTTGATGAAAATAAAAGGAAAAGGTTTAAAGAGTTGGACTAAATTGTTGTGATATCAAAAAATAAGCTGTCATGTATGTTTTGGTACAGGTGGCTGATATAGAGAGAAAAGTTAAGTGGATTTTAGCCTCAAGTACAAGCAGTTGAAGCATTTTGCAGGTAGGCTTACATGATAATGATAAGCAATGCTTTAACTGAGCATATCAAATTGATGAATCAATACAATTATTTCAATACTTACCAGTATTTATTTGTGTTCATGTTACTCTTGATATAAAAGTAAACTCAGGTGTATGTGTGAGGCATTGTGGCCTCATGGTTAGTGTCCTCAACTCTGGATCAAGTGGTCTGGGATAGAGCCTTGGAAGGGAACATTGTGTTGCATTCTTAGGCAAGACACTTTACTTTCACAGTGCCTCTCTCCACCCAGATGTTTAAATGGGTACTGGCAAATTTAGTGCTGGGGTAACCCTGCAATAGACTAACATCCAGGGGTAAGCAGAAACACTCCTAGCCACTTCGTGCTACAGAAACCAG